ACGGAGTCTGAATGCAGATTGGGGCACATTATTTGCTCTCTCTCTTATCTTTTTGCTTGTTTCTTCTTTCTCGTGGTTGCTCCCATTGGCTCTAATGCAACATGACTAATGTGAAATAGGTTCTACATGAATGTATGTGTAGATCCTATATCAGATTGCATGCTGTCTTGGGGTGGGGGGAAGGGAAAGATGGGGAAAAAGTTTGGAACTCAAGATCTTATGGAGGTGAATGTTGAAAACTAAAAACATATAAATTGAAAAAAAAAACCCAAAAGAATAGGCCACACCACAACAGCCTGGTTTTCTTCTTTAACAGTTACTAAACTAGAAGAACTAGGGAAATAATACAGTTTCGTTCAGTCTCATTTGATTTCTAAGCTTTTGCCTATTCCGCCATATGCCAATCTAAGGGCACCCATTTAGTTCCTGGTTCTCTGCCACTACAACAATCGTTGCCGTGAACATTACTGTGTGTGGAGGACCTTTTTCCTCCTCCCAAAGGCTTAGCAGAGGTTTTGCTTTGGGCAGAGATGCAAACTGCTCAAGAACGGCTTTTTCAAATCACGTCACGGCTCCGCAAGAGATGCCTTAATGGCCTGGCACTTTTTTCTGGAAGCTTCTCCAACATCTGTTTGTCATTTTTTTCTTTTTTTTTTTTTTTGGCCAAGCTCTTGGGCGTGAGGTGGAATCTTAAGGGTTAACTCAATTTGTTACTTCTCTAGCTGCCAGTGGTTTTATTTTCCCCAAATATGGCTATAGGTAGCTTAGATTTTTGTCTTTGAAAGTTACCTGTTCACATACTTTAATCATCTATCAATTGAGAAATGGGTTCTTACTCTTAAAAACTTGGAATCAGTTCCTTAAATATCTAGTAAATGAGGCCTTCATCAGGGAAAACGCACTGCAAACGTTTTCTCCCAGTTACCTCTTACGTCTAATCTTTGCTTCGCTGGATTTGCTTGTGCCAGACTTTCAGTCTTCTGTGATCCTCTTTCTGCCATATGGTCATGAACTCTTCCCCTATCCATAAACGTGAAATGTAATTTCTCCCCTGCTCCTCTGATTTTCTGTGTCATCAGTGACATGTGGCCCAAGGGGCCAGATCGCTTTCCAGTTTCTCCACATTTTGTCTGAGTTTCTTGTGCTTCAGTATCATGTCCACTCATCAACTTACCCTACTGTTGTCTTGGGTTACTGCCTTGTGGCACGGTGTAGAATCTGGCCTGGCTAGTCCCCCTTCCTTCCTACTTTTTCATCATTGCCTCTGAGATCCTGCATCTTTGGTCTTCCAGGTGAATTTATTTTTCTCATTCTAACAAATAACCATTTGCTAGTCTGACTGGCATGGCACTGAGTAAGTAAATCAATTGAGGTAGTATTTTATTTTTGACATGTTGGTTTGGCTGACCCATGACCAATTAATATTTCCCCAATTATTTGGGCCTGTCTTTATTTCAGTAAAGCATTCTGTAATTTTATTCAAACAGTTCCTAAGTGTATTCTGGTAAGTATTTTAGATATCCTATAGTTATATTAAATGGAATTTTTAAAAGAAAGAAATGTGAAGTACTTAATATTTCAATCAAATTTTTTGGCTGACTTTCTACATCACATCTGCAAAATGTGATGCTGCTTATACTTATTACCTTGATTTCTTTCCGTTTGACTGCCAAAGCTAATTTCTAGCACTATGACAAGAAGCAGAGACGATGGATATTCTTGCTTTTCTTTCGATTTTATGGGAAAGCGATGTAGTTGATCCCCCACTACCTGTGTTTGCAGTGGGTTCAGATACTTAATTGTTTTTTGTCCTTGTAGCTTGTCCTTCATCAGGGGTGAGGTCTTGACTTGTAAGTGATCTGGATTTAAGTGAGGCAGGCTGTGCAAAGGCACTGGAGTCCAGGAGTAAGACCTAGGTCAGGACAACTTGCAATGGCCCAGGATGCACTGGAACCCTTGGCCTTTTTAAGCTGAGGTCTTCCCCGGGGCCTCAGGTTGTCTGAGGCAACACCCAGTCAGTGATTAAAGGACAGGTAAGAACTGAGGCAAAAGACGGTATATAACAGCTTGAATAAAGGTCCCTTTATTCCTGTTTTCTAGTGTGTTTTTTATTCCTAAACACCAATGGGTATGGTGTTTTGTCAAAAGCCTTTATTGCCTCTACTGATGGGATCCTAAGTTTTGTTATCATGAATATGGTCAATTGAGTTTATAATTTTCCTAATATCAAGCCAACCCAGAATTCCCAGCCTAGAGCATAATCTCTGTGATAAGTTGCTGTAGACCTGTTAATATTTTATGTAAAGTTTTAGAATCATTGTTCATTCAGGATATTAGTCCACAATTTTCTTTCTTCATGGTGGCTCTCCCTGACTTAAGTACCAAGAACATATTTATGGTGCAGAACAAATTTGATAAAATAACTTCTGCTGTTCTTTGAATTCTTGATAGAATTTGTTTTGAGTGAAATGATACAATCCAAGCATTTTGGAGTTATTCAAATAAGTGACTAAAAGGTCTGTGAGACTCCACTGCTAGGCCTAAACCCTAAGGAAGCCAGTGATAAGAACAAAGTTCCCACATACACCAAAAGTTATAAAAGCACTTTTTGTGAAAGCTAAGAATTGAAAAAAAATTAGATGAGCATCAACCGGGGGATGGCTAACAAATTTTGGTCTGTGAATACAACAGAAGATTCCTCTAAGAAACGATAAGCCTGAAAGACCTCCACGAACTGATGCAGAGGGAAGTCAGCAGAGCCAAGAAAACACTGGCCACAGTAACATGGAAAGAGCCGCCACACACCCCCAAGTCCAGAGTCAGCAAAGGAAACACCACCAATCGAGCAGCCCCCTTCTCCACAGCTACCACACACTGGATGTGTTTTTGGACGGACCCACTGTATTCATGAGTTATGCTAATTTTTTTCCCTCTCTAAAGATGAATCTTTTTCATCTGGGTCAGCTCTCTGGGGAGACAGGAGGGGGATACTTGGAATAACTATGGTGAGGCCAAACACATACATAAATTAATAAAAATCTTTTTTTTAAAAAAAGGAACTTGTAAAGTCATCTGGTCCTTTGGAAGGTCATTTAGGGGTTGTTCAATTCCTTTTTTTGGAATAAATAACTAGGTTATTTAAACCGTCTATTCCTTGTTCTGCTCACCTGAGTATTTTATACTTTTATAAATATTCATCATTCCATTAAAATTTTCAGTTTCACTGGCTATAAACTGAGCAAAATAGTTACTAATATGGACCAGTGGAGTGGTTTATATCTCTTACTTAAAAGGAAAAAACCCCTAGCTTCCTGTTTTCTTTCTCTCATTTCCGGGTCAGTGTTCAGAGCTCCATGGCTTTCCTTGGGGACTGCTGTGGCTCGCATCCCCCAAATTCTGGCAGATTATCTTGCAGTCGTTGGCTTTGATGGAATTCTCTCTGAGGATTCGTTCTCCGACCCGCCAGTTCAGTTTACCTAACTTCTGGCAAAGGATTTGACAAAAGTTTCTAATGTTATTCTTGTGGACACAGCGGAGGGACACAAACGACCCTTGTGGACTGGTGGAGCGCCCTAAGGGCCAAGATTTGGCTCCAGACAAACCCGCCTCTTCGGACCCTGCCCAGATCACTCCCAGTTCTGCCTTCTGAGGCCAAACCCTGCCTGTCCAGTCCCTTCTCCATATGGTGACCTTCCATGTCCTGGAGAACTGTTTCTTTCCTCCAGATGAACCCTTCAATTGATTCTCAGATGGCCTGGGCTCAAGGCCTCCCCGATTCCCAATGCTGTCTGGATTTCAGAAAGGGAACTGATGAACACCTCTGTAGGGGGAGTCACAGGAGTCACCAAGCACTGGGCATTGGACATTTCCTTGGACCATCATGGCAACCATGGGAGGTAGGGTTTGATGATTATCCCCATTTGACAGATGAGGACACTGAGGCTCAGACTGCTAAGTCTCTGAGGTGGGATTTGAACTCCTCGACTCCAGGAAGTGTTCTCATCCACCTGACCCTGCAGCTCCCAAGTCCAACAACAGGTGACGTTAACAGGAGGCAAGTGAAAGAAGATGAAAATGGCTTCATTGGTGGAGTGGGGGAGTGGGGGGTGTCAACAGCAGAGAGGTACAGAGACCTGACCCCATCTATCCCCAGGCCTCCCTGTGCAGCATGGTTAACTTACACTTCAGGCTCTCAAGTCCAGGACTGACGGAGAGGGTCACTGAGACCCCCTCCTTTAACGGAAAAAGAAACTGAGGCCCTGGGAGAGAAGCTCTTGTCAGGGTCACCTGCGCCTGCCTAAGTGTCCCTGCTGGGACCGAGTCTGCAGGACACGTATTCTCTTGACAAAAGGGCCGTACCAGAGCTGATGACAATCACCCGGAGCAAAGTTTGTAGGCACGGTGAAGCTCAGCTGCCATGGGACCCCACCCTAAGAGGCCACCTGGTGGGGAACTGATGGATGAAGTTGGGCTGGCCATCTGTCTGCAGGCCCGATGGAAACAAACGCAGGCTGGTCCTCTGCCCCGGAGATGAAGCCAGGCTGGTCCTCTGCCCCAGAGATGAAGCCAGGCTGGTCCTCTGCC